TAAAGGGCAAACATAAATCACCTGATACTCATTTATATAAAAGAGAATTTCCTTCTAAACAAAATAAGTTTTGTTCAAAAGTACTATACTTCCAATATAAATACAATGTTGTTACCTTTACTATGGGAGTTCATTCTTACTGGGATTATTTTTATTCAACCACATCTCACAGTCTTGATCAGTGAATGGAACACATTGTATCTCGAGGTCATTTGATGATGTAATGAGCGGAGGCACTTTCATTCTCTGACGATGACTCTGGGATGCAGTTGAAAGTTGATCAAACTTTGTCACATGTTGTCGTCACCATGCTGTGTGGTGTTTCCTGATCTGCTTTGATCTGCAAACTCCAGACAGCACATGCTCGTTCATTCTCTAAAGTCATCAGAAGTGCAACAGACTGCAGCTGTGAATGATGCATTTGTGAGTTCAGAGCTTAGTCATAGTCAAAGAAGTAGGCTAATAATTCATGTCTGCCTTTTTAAGTATGCAAACTTATCTAGAGCTCCTTTCACATGTTCTAGGTCTGGGATTGAATTGACCATTTTACATGTCACTAAGGTTGCAGCATTAATTTTGATGTATACTGAGTAAAGAGGCAAACATCCATTCACACCTACAGTCTAATTTGTGTCTTTTTATATCCCAAAGCCAATCTGCATGTCTTTGGACTGTGGGCAGAAGCCTTAGTATCTGGAGAAAACCCACAGACACAAGGAGAACATGCAAACTCCACACACAAAGACAGAAAGAAATTCAGGTTCTGACATACTTGTTCCACAAAAAGCTGTTGAATCCTATTTATTGGAAATTCCCTGAGGCTAAATCCAATAACAACATTTAAAAAAAAAGGCATATTTAAGTTAAACATCTCTATCTCTGTCTTTTACTGGCTCTAAAACTCAGGAGTAGCGTGGACGCTAGACAAATTCATAACAGAATTTATGTTTTGGGGTTTTTTTAGTTGAGAGGTTTGTATTTATTTATATTTATGCTTATATTTAAAATTATTTGTGTTAGTCTAATCTTTTCAAATCTTACAACTTGTTGTTTTTGCACAGTAATCTGCAAACCTGATCTTGTGCTATTGTTCCCTTGCTCAGTGAAATAAGTTTCTTGTTTACTGCTGTGTGAATCTGGTGCTGCATGTGGTGAGGATTTTACAGCTGCCACCTGCATGCAGCTGTTTTCCTGATTGGAAACTCATGCTCATCGTTGATGATGCACATCAAATTTGCATTTTTCAAGGGGAAACTGAAATCTGATTTGAGAGTACGATGTGCATGTGGGGGACACAATGGAAAAATCTATCAAATGCAAAGGCACAGTTTAAAATCATGTTATGTGCTAAAGACAGCTGTAAAGGTAATTTGGGAAAATCTGTCAGTTTATGGTTAGACTGAATTCCATTTGATGTCTTCACTGACATTACGACGTGATAATCATTACTACGCCGCGATCATATTTCCATTTCTTTTCTTGTTGCGCTCACCCTCCCACAGTGATGTTGGGTTTTAGACTGTGAAATGAAGACATAAATCCTACTGCAGAAAGAGTCTGCATCATCCGTGGCTCTTTTTAAAAAAAAAGGCTGCTTGGCAAAATGGAACGATGTAGATCATTAAGTTTTGATTCACTGAAATATTTTCCTAGTGTCATCAATTATGTAATGTGCAGGAGAATTTGTTACCAGAATATGCTGTCTGTCTTTCTTTATTGATTTGAAAACACCTATAACAAACGATGCTGATTATTGTCAGACCCAATAAGAAATAACCATTGTTCTTCTTCTAGACCAAATAATGTTAAAGGTCTGACAAGGCACAAGATGTTTCTGAAATTAGAAACTGTATTTTTTATTTAATTACATACACTATAAATCTCATTTCATGTGAGGATGACAGTCCCTGACACTGGGTGTGTAAGCTACAGTTCTGACAAACTAAGTGTTACTATATATTTTATTGGATGTTGTTTATTCACACTGACTCACCCACGTTTGTTTTGTCTCTGAAGGTGTGAAAGGACTCTTATTAACCGAAGTGGCTCAGAGTCACATTTCACAATGTTTACCAAGTAGTTTATCACCATCTTCACACAGTCACCAGCTCTTTAAGTGCTGGCGTATCTCGAAAGAATGTCCATCAGCTTTTGGATGTACCACATGTTTTGGATGTTGCTGATATGATAGGACAATGGAAATAAAAAATAAAAGCACAAACACATGAAGGGTGTTTATCTGTCTTGAAATACAGTTCGGCTAAGTAGCATTCACGAAAAAGACCTATTTACATACACACATACAGCGTTCTGCTGCACACACATTGAATACACAAAGTTGGCACATGTGCTCACTCATGTCTACCATTCAAACACACACTATACTACTCCAACTACTACTATGTCAAAATGTCAAAAAAGAAAACATAAAATATTTTTTTTGTCTTTGAAACAATTGATCTTTACAGGATATAAGTCACTGCAACAAACCTCCATTTCCCCTCTTTGGGTTTGCCGAATAGTTTGAGGTCAATATCACTGCATGAGCTGATGAAAACTGTGTTAGATGTGTTACCCTCATCAAGTCCCTTCGATATTATCCCAAAAAAACAGTTGAGGTTCAGTCGGTCTGAACTCCAGGGTCTGTTTTCTCATCATCAATAGTTCTTTGTCTTCAAATATGACCTGTTCCACCACTGCTGAAGAGACCTGATCTCGGGCATGCAGACCTAAAACAGTCAATTTCTAAATAATAAAAAAATGCTAAAAGAGGTAGTGCTAGACAAACTTCTACAAAAACAATATTTCTGAGAGCTTTTATCCTTGGGTCTGTAAACTACATAGCATTGATGCAGCTTTGCTTAGACTTACCAGTGATTTACCGCAAGCTGCCAATCCGGATGCATGTTCTGTGGTATTATTGCAGTTAGTTGATATTCTATGTTACTAATGGACCTCAGTGTAGCCTTCAATGCCATCGACCACTCCTGCCTCATTGAACGATTTTGGCTAAAAGATGCAGTTTTCAAACATCACACCTCTGTAAGCCTAACTTTGGCTTCAAGTCTACCTCAGGGTTTAATTAAAAACACTAGGGCTTTATATGCACCACACATCTGCCTGTTTGAGTCTCACTGTTCCACAGTAGAGGTGAAAATGAAGGAACTTTTACTGGGATATATTTTTGTCTTCTGACAACTTAAATCTTAGTTTCATACTCACCTTTGCAGGATGGCATTTTTATAAAAACTGGTATACTCTTGTCTTTATTTATTTATTTTAACATGGATCATGGGAAAACAAATAATAATGAATCAACCTATATTATTATGTTTTCATTGAATCAGTGAGTAGTTTTAAGCATCTAACCTGCTGTAGTGAGAGGTTTTTGATTTTAATGCGACCTAATTTTTTGTGAATTTTTGAACATCATACATTTGATATAGATTAATTCAACTTTAACTAATGATTTAGTGAATTGGTGTAATCCTTTTGGAAAAGTTCTAAATGTATATAAATAGGTACATATACACATATATACAAATACATAGTCATGCATACATATAAGTAGTCATGTTAAATGTATTAAGAATGTGTAAATTTGAACAGTTTAAAACGTTTTTTTTGTACTTTGCAGGTGAGCATCTTCGTGTATGTCCTCAAGGAAACACATGTTGCACCCAGGAAATGGAGGACACATTTGGACAACAGAGTAAACAGGACTTTGAAAATCTGGTTGATGAAATGAGTCATGAATTGAGGAGCACCTTTGTTTCCAGACACAAGAGATTTGACGGTAAGTCTTAAATCTATTTTTTTCATGTAATTTATGTTTTAGTGGTCATTCACAGTAGAATACATTTCCACAAAAAGGTAAATCAAGGGATTGAGACTGTATGTGTTAATTTGAAAGGATTCTCAGTTTGTGCGTTTGTAGCTGTCCTCCTCCAGAGGAGATGAGATGTGAAAATCTCATTAACATGCCTTGGAGTGAAGAGCCCTCTTGTTGGATTAGACAAACATGGTTTCCGGCACAGCAGATTGACAGCCTGAACAGCAGAACACTGTCAAACTCTGCATTATTAAGGTTGTTTGGTGGTTTTTGTGCAGTGTGTGATCTAGTCTCGGCCCCACGGTGACTGTCTTGACCACCGCACATCCGCTGAGCCTCAGCTATGGGAGCGGCCGCGTGTGCCCATTACTGAACCAAGCTCATTCTACCTCCTCTCCGCCTCTCCGGGTTCAGTATCCATCCCCATAGAGTGCAGCTCCTAGTAGATACAGTTTAATGAGAAATAATAATCCCTCCTGCCCCAGCTCTCAACATTAGACTGTGTGGAGGAGCAGCAGCTTATCACTGTGGACAACGGTGAAGGGTGGTGGAGGTGAAAATTGTCAACCACGGCCACTTGCCTGCATTGTCAAACAATTTATTAGAGATCCAGCATAAAACCTTTTAATGAGATACCACTGAAAAGCCTTTTTAAGATGACTGAGTATGAAATGTATTTTTCTCTAAATGAATGGCAGAACAAAACTAAATTCTTCTTCAAAATACTACCTTATGTTTGGCATTTATATAAGGCAAACCATTTAATTTAAAACCAAAGCTTCAATTTTTCAATCTGTAGTTGATAAATGTTTATTTTAGTGTAAGTTCTCACTGTAATTGTGAAGAATTGGGAAAGGTGCGTGTAACCATCAAACTTTGGCAACCTTTACCAAACTAATGGTCAAACATCAGTGTCAGAGTGAGCAACATTTTATTTATTAATGCTCTCGCCAACACAAAAAAAGGTTTCTCACAGGAGAAAGAAAAGAGAAATTTTGAAACAACACAATATAAAGTTATAAAAACTAGAATAGCCAACGGGTAGAGGGAGTTAAAAGTTTGAAGAGCTTTGTACAAGTGAGCTGAGACTATTCCACAGTTTATGAGCAGCAACAGAAAAAACAGAATCACCCTAATAAAAGGATATTGTATAAGATAAGATAAAATAAACCTTTATAAGTCCCACTACCTGCACAGCAACAAGAGAGGCAGTAAAATGTATGAACACAAAGAAACATAAAGATATTAAAAAATATATTTGCAATCAGAACATTTACAATGTACACAGCATTGCACTTATAAGATATTGAAATTGCATTGATAGAAAATAAGTTAATTTAAGCTCAACATTTTGCAATCTGCACATATAACCAATAGAGAAGAGACTAATTCACTCCACAGTACTGTGTACAGATCTCATTTATATACAGGAATAATACATAGTGGTGTCTGTTGCCTGAGACATGCATGTGTTGCATATACAGCAGCAGATAAACAAGCTTTCTCCTGTCATCTAGTTACACATGCACATAAACAACAGGGCCGCGAGTGAATTTTGAGCGTTATTAGCAAATCAATCATCTTAAAGCTGAACTTTCGCTGACACTTTTTCTGCTCTTTGTCATAGATCTATTTTCCCGCTTGTCATCCATAGAATTTAAATTGCAAAACAGCAATCTCTTAAAAAACGGAGAAGTCTATGGGCGATGAATCTTGAACCGTCTCTGAATTCAACATCGTTACTGAGTCGTATAGTCGCACAACCGGTGCAGATGAGATGAGATGACTGAGCTGATGGTGCTTTACAGCTGCTTCTATTCAGGGCTTTCACAGGTGCACGAGCAACAGGAGCCGCTCAGACTAAGAGACACAAAAGTGACAATATTGTCTTTATACAACACAACTAACGCATTATAACAGATGCCTAACTAAAATAAAAGATCACACAGTTCTTGGATTTTCTTTTTTTTCTTGAACGGATGTGCTTCAACAGTATCAGTGAACCTTGGCATATTTGGTTTTAGGAATTAAGCCTGTTAATCATATCCTGACAGACGTTATTTTAGATCCACATAATGATATGTGTTTACTCATGACTCCAACTTTGTCCGACTAAATTGGGGCTGAGTCTTTGCAGATGTTAAGTTGCAGTGGCAGCTGTTCTCTCCTTCCACCTTTGTGATTCTTAACCATACGTTGTGCTGCAGGCGAAAGCCTCTTGTAACGTCTGTGGTTTGTTTTGAGCTTGACTGTACTTTTGAGGCTCTCAGCCATAGACTCTCTCTGTACTGTTTGATATGATTGCGTCGTGGGTAATTAAAAAGGTTAGTGTGTTTGTAGTGAGCCTGCTTGGTCTGGTCCTTGTCAGACTTTTGATGTCAGAACTACACCCATGCAACAACTCTTCTAAGTAGGAGCTCCTTGTTTCGTCTTGGCACCCCTCCTCTTTGTTTGTTTGTGTTTCCTTCATACAAAGTTCATCCCTGTATCCACTGGAGGAATGCAAATCATTGACCAAATAAAGGAAAATATAGTTGCTTGAGCAGCACATCAAGATAAATCAATAACAAGAAACGATATATATATTGTCATATAGCTTCAGCCGGATTTGATTTCGGATTTATCATGACATATTTTTTGAGTCTAGTCTGTTTTATTTTATTATTTTTAAAGTCTTGAGGGTTTGTAGCTTACCAATGTTATTAATAATGCTCATTAAAATGGCTTGGTCTCAATGTGCCCTACAAGATATGGTAAATGGAAAATGGTCTGTATTTATAAACACATTCATACAGTGCATCTAGGGGCAGCACTTTTTTCTCTTTTTCTATGAGGGGCCATTCAGGGTTCAGTATCTTGCCCACAGACACTCTAAGAATGGAGATAAAGAACTGCCGACCTTATGGTTGGAGGACGACCGCTCTACACCTCAGCCACAGCTTCCCCAGGATACTACCTTAAAGCATTTGTTGTATGATCTGCTAACATCTTGTAATTTTAGTAGATATATAAATAACTTAAAAATCTAATATGCCAACGTAAATATGACCTCTCCCCTAGATCAAGATCTCAGGGTTTAACAGCAACACCCCCAAAGATTCAGTTGATCTGAAAGTAATTCTAATCTTTGTCCTAAACCAGAAGCATAGATTTTCATGTTGGGCCATCTAAATATATCCAGTGCCACTATGAAATAATGTTTGAGTGATTAATAGAGCAATTTAATACTTAACAGTCAATGTCTTGTCTTTCTATGCCCATTTCTTTTAAACTGTGTCAACATATTGTATGAAACAAATACTATTGAGTTACAGTATGCAACTCTCAGATGATTGCACGCTGCCCAGAAACTCAATGTCACAACGACTGGGTGATGTCTGTCTGTTTTTTTTTTTTTGTTGTTTTTTCCAGGAACATACACTTCTATAGCCAGCATGTGATTCCTGGAAGCGTGCATAAATAAATAAGTGATATTTTGATCAGCTGCTGTCAAGATGGTGAATGTCATGAGGAGGACTCCAGTGAGGGAGGAAATGGGGTTTGTCCAGCAGCACTTAGACGCATGACTCCAGGCACCCTTCCTTCTCCTGGGGTTTGCTGCCACTCTCCATAATTTCATCCACGTCAGAGCAGATGCCTCGTGCAGGTTTCAGCTCCGCGGCTCCTCTGCTGTCTGGAGACGCTGTGTCTGCTGTGGGGTCCTGACTGACCACCCGCTACGGAAACATGCTATATTGATTTCTAGATTTGATTTTCACCTTAATATTAATTGAATCTGAGTGTTTGAATTGGTGGTGGTGAATAGTTGTGAGCAGGAGATATTAGCGGAGATTTAATGCTGCTAGAAAATAAAACTGATTTCAAATGTAAAAAAATGTTTCGGGCCTTGAGAGTGAGCCAGAACACTTAAGATTCAAACAATACAGTGTTGTTGGTTCAGAGAGAAGCTCTTTACTATCTGTTTAGCACCTGGCTGTGTAGTCCCACCCACACAGAGTCCGTGTATGTGTATATTTCCTTCTCTTTATGCAGAGTTTGTGATGAGTGTTACTGTATCTGACAGAAGCTGGCCAGCCCACGCACAGCTGACACCGCAGCCTATGTGTCACAGTGAGAGGGCACAGTCTCGACTATGCCAAGACCATTTGAGCAGCAATACAGGAATATCCACAACCATACAAAGGTGCACAACTGTATGAGTCGTACAGAGAAACAGCATCATTTCAAAAAATCAATGTCAAACATGCCGCAATCTATCATTTAATGTGCTAATTTATGTATCTTGTAGCACATCTGAATATTGTTATCCCCATAATACACACCCTAAAACCACAGGAAACTCAAGAATTATTTTTCTGCTTTGCTTATTAAAGAGTAAATCATTCGTCTTAATTGCAAATCAATTGTTGGCCCTCCTAACCACCAACACCATGGGGCTGGGCGGCCAAACAGAATATTAATGCGCTCCACCCTCCACGATTGATCTTTTGCAAAGTTAAAACAAGCACACAAGCATGTTGGATTTTGTGTACTTATACATGAATATAAAAAGTGAATTCCCCTCTCCCCTCAGCAGCCGCATATAGTCGATGTGCCCTTGGGCAAAGAAGTTAACTCAGAATGACTCCAAAGAAGCTGCCAACCATAGAGGAGCATACACAGCGCTGGCCTCTACCGCTGTGTGTGACTAGATGAATGTGGACCCGGACGATGCTGAAAAGGGCATGCTTGCTCAGCAAAGCCATTCTTTACCTAAGAAATCCTATTGGACCCTCCAGTTAGAGTTCGTAGAATTCAGGTAGGAATTCCACAGTACACGTCCCTCTGCAGTGTTTTTAGGAAGATTTTTACACAGAAATGTCTGCGACTGAATCAATCCTCAGTGGGGTTTCTGACGGACAGGCCTATCTGTTGTATATGAGCTTTCTCAGGATTCTGTGTGGTAGAGGGCAAAATTTCCAATTCCAATCCAAACCATTTCTCTATTTCTGAATATGGTAACTTTCAAGTTTGATGAGACTACATTAGTATATATAAGTTTACAATCCATTAGACTTTTTTGTTGGTTATCTTTGACATGCCAGTATATCATTTACTTTTTTTATGTCAGCAGCTGGGATTTTATTGGAAGGTTTTGCTTTTAACTGTCACTGTGCGATGGTGTGCCAGCACTCAAAGCAGCCCTCTGTAGACCAGTTCTTCCTGACAGACCAATCAATGACCCAGCTCCTGACTGACATGTGACGTTCAGAGTGCTCCTTTTGGCAGCCAAATTGCAACTTCAAGGTACAGCTCTAAGGGGCTGGAAACCTATAGCTGCATACTTTATACAATGAGGTTTTAATGATCACAAAGCTGGTTCCCTTTTTGATGACTTGTGGTCCTGTAGGAAAAGAGGGCTATGGTTGAGATAACAAGCTGTTTACTCAGATGCATGAGGGCGTGTTTACAATAATTTGTTTTATAAAGCAGACATCTGACAAGTTACCAGAAAAAAATTGTGGCTTGAAGTCACTTGTATGTTTGTCTTTTTTGGTTGGTGTTTGGCCTTGAAATAAAATGTTGAATTTCAATATTGATTGTGATTTTATATTCACAAGAATTCAAATCAATTCAACCAGTTCCTTGCAATTGTCAGCAGCTCCATGGTATTTCTACAAAAGATCCAGATTCCATAACCGCCGGTCAAACAAACTCCATCCTGGACCTCGAAGGTCCAAAAGATTTACCTCGTAAAGCTTTTAAGACCTTGCCCCCAAGATGTTTTATCAAATCACCATTCCCCCACAACCTAACAAATTTGTAGCATCCTCCATTTAACACAAAATTGATAAATCACTGAGGCCCTAGTTTTGGCAAATAAAGATGAACAAATAATCTTCTGACTCAGTGTATCGATTCCTAATTTGCACTTTGCTCTAAGGCGCAGTTTACATCTATGGAAGCTTGCATCCTTACATGCATTTTATTTACCTGTAATTCGTCTGGGATAAGTTGACACAGACCTTGATTCATTGTATGCTTTTGATTACTATGTTTGTGCACAAATATATGTAGAGTTCTACTTGCACAGATCACAATTTTTTGACCTGAGGTAATCAGCCGAGTCAGACCTGAAGTAGACGGGCATACTGTTGTGTCCGAACCTGACCCAAGTCAAGTTTTCCCTGATTACAAGCACGTGCAGCAAAAAATTATCAAGTAGATAACACAGCCAAACATGATCAAATCCGACCCGAACCCAAATATCATTTCAAAATCTTTGTTGGACAGCTTCCGACGGGTCCCCAAGGGCTCTTGAGTTATTATTTCTGCTGGCCAGTTTCCCTTTAGTGTCTTCACAGCTATGGTCCATCCACAGATGCCTCCACTGGTTTAGTTCCTCAGACCAAATCATGTTTCACTCCAAAGTATCTATTATCTCCAAATTCTGAGTGAAAAAAACACAGGATGCCCATTTTCATCATCTCGCTTTAAGATTTGAAACAGGAGTGGTCTGTTTGAAGATACATCTCTGCCATGAAGCTGAGCATCCATCAGCAGATACACAGACTTCCCCTTCATCACAGAGAAAGGCTGTGTGAAACCTTCTTCACAGCTCTGAGTGCACAGTGAGGAACTGGAGCCAAACTGAAATAAATCAGCAAAATGTTTAGTCAAGTTGGGTCCATCAGAATCAACTCTGTCCAGCATTTCAGCATTGTTATCCCATTTTTGCAGCTTTCTAAGCTTTTCATTTAAACAGACATCTTAATTACTACAATGTTTTAATGATTTAATGAACTTTCCTGTTCATTTCTATTCTCATAGATTTCCCTAAATTTGCAATTATAGAATAGGATCCCTCTCATGAATTCCCACTAATTAGATTTAGATGTCTATTTTAACTTAATAGTGTTGTCACTGACTCATACCGAGTTCATACATAATGTTATTATTAATAATCACTCCAAAACAAAGCTTAGATTTTTATCAAATATACTTTCTGCATTAACCATTAGATTTATCTTAATCACATAAGATATTTATCTCAGCTGACACTTTTGACTGAAATATCTAAAATAAAGTTTTTTTTTAATTTAAATGAAATTAGTTTTGAAACTGCCATTAATCAGTGTACACATCGCTCAGCGCCACTGACAGTTTTCATTACCAAAAACCAGTCACTGAAGCACAAATCATGTTTGGAGAGATTTGCATATTCTGTCTGTCAATCACAACGTAATCGAGAGAATACTCCAAATATCCATATACAACACAAGTCCTGCAAACGGTGGATGTCATATCCTTTGAGAAGAAACATGTGTGAATGTAACATATCCAATGAATTTGTTAATCATGTTGTTGGTGTGCAACAACTAATCAGATGTGATTGGATGTGGTATCATGGAGAGTCGCAGCATTGTGTGATCTGTCATTTCACCTGAATCACTGCACACTAATGACCACTTGAGAACCATTACAGCTTTGTCAGGGCCATTCTGATAAGTGACTGTAATCTGCACGGCTCAGAGGAGGCACATGGATCTGTTCGAAGTATCAGATGTGACCTAGCTACCATGAACTGCTGTACAGATGTGCTACAGACGCTAATTCAGGAATCGACTGACCTGTAACAGCTGTACAAATTATGATGGCAAATGTTGAAGTTGGGTAATGTAGTGGATGGATGGATGGATGGATGGATGGATGGATGGATGGATGGATGGACATTTACACATGAGGCCGCCATTTGTTTACCATAAGAAACCATTAGTCGTTAGTGTTTCCATGACGCCAAAGGTTTGGTATCCTAAATCTGAGGGTATGAATAAATTATACCTTTATCGTCATTGAGGTTGAAGGACTAGTTTGTTGTGGAAGACAATGGTTGAAGTTACTGTAAAATGCACTTACCAGTCTCAAACATCTGTATAGTCATCTCTGATGATGACAAAAAATGGAACAGGGTTCACGGTATTAATAACTGACGGACATTTACCGCTCTTACCACATCCATATACCAGTGAGAAACTAGAGGCTTTAAAGCTTCACCAATCAATGTTTTTATTAACAAATGATTGTGATAAGCAAGGCCGCATTAAAGTACCATGGGCAACTTTTTACGAATGGGCCTGTGGGTGAAATTACTCTGGCCAAAAAAAGTGGGCAATGTATGATTGATATATAACAAGCAGTATGTTGCTTATAGTTAACAATCTACAAAGAGCTATCTAGAGATCCAGGATGAATGATAATCCTAATAATAATATAGATTATATATTGCACTTAAATGTATATTGCGTCCAGAAATATGCCCCAATTAAAGGCTAATCCATCTGCTGGGCGGGTAAATGATATGTATGAGATATTAATACCAGAATATTTTGTTTACAGCTCCTTCCACCACCATCAAGTGGCCAAAAATCAATTAATGCTGCTTTAATGCTTTGGGTTGAGGATATTGCCCTATAAAGCGCAGAAATTTAGGAATATAAAAGCTTTTTTGTAATCACCACTATCCTTTATAGGATTGGAGTCTCTCATACTAGACTTGAACTCTTTCATTTTGCCATTAAATGCTCAGAGTTTCAAAGCCTATTTAAATATTAATCTTGGTCCTTGGAAAGCAGCACTTTCATTACAGAAATGTAATCATCTCATCTTCGTTTCTGGTGAATCACATGATATCATGTGAAAAACAACAAGGTGCCTGAAAGGGGAGAGACTGTATCCTATAGGAGGATAATTTATTGCACATCATATGACAACCTTATGCTTCCAGAATATGGAACAATACTCCAGTCAGAATCTGTATATAGGATTCATCCACCTATGTGCTGTCTATCAGGGTACATTCATATATTGAGGGTTCAAAGGTGCAATATGGAAAATTCGGCTTTATGCACTGCAAACACAGACCTTATTGCTTTGTAGAAATATATGAGGGAGGCTCCTATTGCAATATCAAAAGTAGTTTACTGTCGATAAAAAATCAACAAAGCTGTGAGGTCTCTTCAAAATTAAATCAACATCACAACACCCTCACTGATATGATGTTTTAGAATTTTTGGGGTGTCTGTAACTTTGCTGTTGGAATTGAAATAGAGCAAGCTTCATCTTTAGGCAGTTTTTTATTGCTGTAATTCCAATATCTAGCCAATAAATTCATAATTCTCTGTCTTGAGAACTGCTCATCTTATCAGCTTTACACTTGGAATGTGTATTGTTAAGGGCCCAAAGTGGTGAAGTGTCAGATTTGGTGCAATTTGGACAAGTGAGGGTTAGGATTCAGGTTCAGGTTCAATGTTAATAAATTTAACTAACAGGCGACCATCGCTCTGTAGCAGTGGCACCTGGGACTCATCGACATAATGACATTGTAATTTGCCGTTTATCGGCAATGACAAGGCAGTAGTTGGTCTTTACATGCCAATTTTAAAGTTTCAGAAAGAAAGACGCAACCCATTTCAAACAGGCATTTTAGAACGGACCCTGCTCTAGCAATAACAAATGTAGGGAGGGTTTGCATAGGTACTAAAGCATATCTCTGTGCCATGTACAGAATCATTTATATACATCCACATATGAGAGAAAATCTGAAAATAACTTAACCCTTTTTTCATTTCTTCCAAACTCAGAATTCTTCCTGGAGCTCCTGGAGAACACAGAGAGGTCCCTGAACGAGATGTTTGTGAGGACTTATGGCAAACCATACATGCAGAACTCAGAGGTCTTTGAGAACCTGTTTGCTGAGCTGAAACGCTATTACACCGGGGGGAACGTTAACCTGGAGGAAATGCTTAATGACTTTTGGTCACGGCTACTGGAGCGTATGTTCACGCTGCTCAACTCCCAGTATGTCATCACCGAGGACTATCTGGAGTGTATCAGTAAGTACACCGACCAGCTCAAGCCCTTTGGAGACGTGCCCAGGAAGCTCAAGGCTCAGGTTACGCGGGCATTCATCGCTGCTCGCACATTCGTCCAGGGGCTCTCTGTCGGCCGAGAGGTGGCACAGAGAGTGTCAAAGGTAAATGTTCTCACTCTTTCAGGTAAAACGCCTAATCAACTGCTAAATAATCAGTATTTGACCTCAGCTGAAATTAAGACTTAAAATAAATTTGAACAGGCTCAAGTTACACAATTCCCCTGGTTTTTACGCATGAACACAGCTCCTGCCAGATACTTCTCTGACTAATGTGGGCTCTCCTGGTGCATGTCCTCAGGAAGTGTGGGGCTCACGGCGGCTTGTTCAGGTGCTGTCTAGAAAACAGCGCTCAGGAGAAATGCCCCCAGACACTGAAAACAGAGAAACAAAGACAATCCTTGCCCATCACTGTTTATTGCTGTCTTGCCTATATATTTGTTTCGCCCACTACGCAGCAGCCATTAATCACGCTGTAGGCTTAGTATTCTGTTTGATGCAATGTAATCTTAATGTAGCTTCTGCGGTATATCCTGCTATCCTGGGAGTGTGTGGGGTTTTGATCATGTACAAAGAAAGATTAAAGGGAAAGCAAAAAGGCTACGGCTTGGATTTATTCACCCTAGACAACAACAGGACTGCGAGCCTCATTCTGGGTAAGAAGAACTGTTAAGCACTACACTGCAAATCCCCTGCCACCCTGCTTTCTTTTCACCACTGTATTAATAGGAGTTGGATTGGATAATCAACACTATGATAAATATTTATAGGTTCTGCTGTAAAGCATAGACACAGACACCAAGGAAACCAAACCTCAATCAGAGAGGGAGGGAAAGACCCTCAGGAGAGAAGACACTGATCCTCTTAAAGGAATCCAACATTCATTTTCTGCCGGTCCCACCACGGTGCACTTGTTGAACTTTGAACGCGTTCCCCTCGCCGTCTGTGTCACACCTGCCCCCCCCTTGCCACTAGAAGTGGGGAGGCTCATGTAGACGTGTGTCATGTGTTCTTAGTATGCGTTTACTGAGTTACACCCAGCATTTTGCATGTCCCCGCATCACCTCTTGACATTTCAGTGGGACCTGAGATCCAGGTCATGTGTCTGGGACTGCAACCCTTTGATCCCCAGGGTATAAACGCATCATGAGGGATTGGGTGTAAGCATAATGGAATAAGACACCCTGCTAGAGGGGGTCTGTTGCCCAGTGTCGCTAAGATGTGCCATCCATGCTTATTGCTGGATATATGAGTGTATATTGAATACAAGCAGACGATGTATTACTTTATTTCTATTTGCAGCTTAAGAGACAAAACACAAAACCCAGGCAGAGTGTCAGTGAGCAGATTTTGTTTCAGGAGTTTGTGTCTCAAAAACAAAGCTCAAAGTTATTCTGGATCATCAGTGCATCTGCCTCTGTTTATCCAAAGTGATTAAAATCTTTTCATTATTTGTCTAGTTTCTGAATTGTAGATTTGTTTAAAATCTCTAATTGATAAATAAATAGAAAACATTTATTATCTGAATACACTCACTGTAGGAAGATAGCTAGGTATCCAACGGCAAAGATGAAATCCAATGAAAAAATTAAAATAATAATAAATAATTTAAATCGTATAATGGCTTATGCTTTATTGTTTAAAGTATCATTTGGAATTGTCATTGCACTCTTATTTAATTTTTAACTTTGTTGTTATATACAGTTTGTGTTTTATAAATAAGTAATAATAATATTTATATAATCTTACTCAGACAATTTTCTTTTGCTTTCCATAGTTTAGAGTTGAAAAAATAGCTTTACAGTAAAGTTAGTATTTTCTTCAATGACTAGAAATATGTAGAGACGGATAAAGATGTTTAATAGTTAGCAGTATTACGCTCAAACTACTAAACCGAAACTTGATGGAAGGATGGGTCAGAATCCATAAACGTTTGGTTCAGATCTGGATCAGGGGACTGATCACGGAAGTTTTTAGAAAATAAGTCATGGATCTTAATGAAGATGCAGATCCAAACAAAAATGTAGATACTAGTGAGTTTATATATATTGGTAGACCTTCACCAAGGCCCAACATTCCCCTTATATTCTCATTCTAGTTTTTATTATAATCTACATATATCATCAGCTACTTAATGGTGAATAATAGTGATAGCACACTGGAAAGTCCTGTTTGCAGAAGACCTGTTCAATAACCTATGCCTATTAAATAACGTGTCCTCAGTAACTAAGAGCTGATTCTGACTCTGTTGCAGCAACACACCTTTTATTCTGCTCCTTAGGTATTAATGAAAAAAAGCAGCCTCACACCTCTGTGTGATTATTAGCTGCAATCAATGGTATTCAACCTTGCTGAGTACGTGGGGTTTTACAGGTCACTGTATTTTTGTAAATTACATTTGTATGAGTTGACTGACATAATAAAAGTGTTAATTAAAAAGTGGGACAATACATAAATTGGAAAACAGACCAATCATAATTAGTAAACCTATGTCCCATATTGGAAATGATTGTAAAACACATTAAAGCCTTTGAGATACAAACCCAGGTGGGCCAAGCTGCATAAATATAAACAGCTACTACAAGAACGTATTCAGTTATTCCAAAAAGTCAAATGTTGCAGGAAGATTTCCAAGACCCATGGTTGGCAGCATGATACACAAGTTTAAAATGTATGTTACAGCAGGAAAACCATCTTTAGCTCGTAAAAAAGAGCAAAACTTCTCCAGGAAGAATCACACATTTGAAAGCAGCAGCAGAGAAAAACCTCCAATTGCAGCCAAAGAAGGCGATAAAGACATCACTTCAACAAGAACTAACTTTGTCTCATATAAAAAATCAGCTGGAATATGCAAGGAAAAATTTTACTTTTATCGTTTTCGGAGTTGAATGAAACTTTTTGGATCAGCAGTTTATGGCATACGGCAAAACTAGACTTGAAGAACATCCCAACAGTCAAGCATGGAAACACGAGGTCCTTCCTGTTATGGGCATGTTTTGCCGCTGCAGGAAGTGGTTAACTTTGACCGTGTCACTGGGATCATGGATTCTTCGAAATAGAAGGACATTTTGAAGAAGATTATGGTGCTCTCTGAAATAGAAGCTTTGTAATCACTGGACATGTAAGGTGGTACATTCCAGGAATTGTTTCTGGAATGTCCTTGATTAGCATCCCAGTCCATGAATTTAAACTCACTGAAAACCTTTGGTGGGAAAACAGCATCAATGTAAAACATTTATTGTTTCACATTTTCTAGAGGGGCCGTGTGTGAGAACCCAAACGTCTGAGTCAGTTCCTCTGGACTTTCTCTGGAGCTTTTCCTGCGAGCTCCCTGGTAAAATGTCTGGAAAATGAGCCGGTGTGAAAATGTCCAGATCCAATTTTCCGGACTTTTACCAAAGTTTGTAAACTACGTCTGGTCATTAAGGTGTGACCCTAAGTGACCCATGCAAAGGCTCCTCCCAAGACTGACTGACTGAAACCTGGAAAACCAGTTTTGTCAAAGAGGATAAGAAGAAAAAGCCTCTCCATCCTTGATGCAATACATTTTTTTGTTATTGACATTCACAAATTGCAAAAATTCTCTTTAGTTAGATGTAAAAAAAAAATGTTGGTGCATTTATTTCCTCAATACCACAGTGTCATTACATTAGATTTTGATTTGATTTTCTTAAGGAAATGAGACATTAATAAGTGTCAGGGTGGCGCTTTTAAAGGCAGATTTGTAGCCTGAAAGATGTTTAATAAAATACTTGTTGGCACTTCATGGAACACAGAAAAAAAGTAAAAGATTGCGCAGTCCATTAGCTGTTACCAAGGAGCTTTGATTCCAAACCTCTTGACAGGTCTTCAAGAGTGCAAGTATTAAAGTGTTTACAGTGGGACTGTTGAGTGCTGCTCTTTGGAAATCATGTAATAAAGTCTGTTTTAGTGGGTCATACAGTCAAGTTTGTGTTTGCTCTCTGAAATATCACTATACTGGCTCTAACAGCTCTGATAGGATTTTGCACCTTGCACAGCTAATCTAGCCAATGGCCGTCGTAGTCCTCAAATTTAGTCTGTGGGTATTTGTTCAATCTCACGATGCCTCCTGAATAAGGCTACGATCAAACATTTATCAAACAGGATTTTTACCACATCTACAACACTCTTCAACACTCGATCTTCGCACACTCGTAGCAAGAAGAGAACCTGAGTCAGGTGACAAGTCATTCCACTACACAAATATGGCTTCCCCTGTGTTGTTACACACTATTTAGTCCCTCCTGACTGACTCTTCCATCTCCAGCTGTCACACAATAACGTCACTTAGTTTTTGATTGTGAAATTAGGCAGAATGAAAAATGAAATATTGACAGATGATTATTTGAAGAGCAAAATGTTTGACAGCTAATTCTGCCATAAGACAGAGCAAATAAATATTTAATTTTAATTCAGGGCAAATTCCCTAACAATGATCTCAAAGGCTATGATTGACAGTGTGCATGCTAAGTGTTTTTTTAACTCTTTCTTTTCTTTCTGAATGTGTAAAAAAATCTTGAACAAAACATTTATTTCAAAAATAATCAAACAAACAGCAGATTTCTGATAAATTTAGAGATGTTCCAATTCCGTTTTTCCCTTCCAGAGACCGATTCCGCAACTGCACTTTACGTATAGTGGCCAATTTCGAGTACAGATCCAATACCAGTGCTTTTTAAAAAGTAACACCATTTATGACATGCTTTAGCGCCTCCTCAGATGCTGTACAAGTGTACATAAGCAATTGGACTGGCTTGTGTTTCTTGAAGACATTTCACCCTTTTTCCAAGAGCCATCTTCAGTTCTGTAGGTTTTAGATATTTCACCTGTACCTGAAACCTCCCACAAGTCATTTAAAAAACTTGCTGATGTCAGTTTCCAATGGTGGAGTTGGAATATCTCCACATAAACATTGCAATGTATATATATATATACACACTGTATTTGACTTCCCTGAACAATTCATAGAAACATTGCCAAGAAATTCATAGTGCATCCAGACAAATTAGAAATGGGAAACATTCAAACTCTGTGTAACGAAAAATTGCAAAATCTGGTTAAAATGATGATGTGTTTGATTGGAGCATCCCAGATGCTAATGACCACTGTCTCACTCTGTGTCCTTGCAGGTCAGCAGCACTCCAGCTTGTATGCGAGCGCTGACAAAGATGCTTTACTGCCCTTTTTGTCAGGGTATGCCAGCAGTTAAACCCTGTAAGAACTACTGCCTGAATGTCATGAAGGGCTGCCTGGCCAATCAGGCGGACCTGGATCCAGAGTGGAACCAGTACATTGGTAAGTCTTATAGATGTTTCTTATTCTGTATGTTTATCTATGTTTTGTGGCTTTATAATGCATGTGTTTGATGCAGAATATCTAATCGTATTAGCACTCACAATAATGAGGCATTTTTATAGATTAAGTTCTTTCACCTACTCCGTCCGAGCATTTGGTGCTCTACAGTGTTACATTTTAATTGCAGATCAAGTCCAGAAAATAACATGAATTACTTTAAAACTGCAACAATAAAAGCAGGAGTTGAATAAGCTGCATGTTTTGGATCGACACACTACAACAATGAAGTGAAGGCAGTTGAAAGCACGAGCTTGAAACTTCAGACTGGGTTGTTGATTTTGTGAGATTGGCGGATCTGCAAGTCTTAAACACCACATGGAGTAACTGGATTCAATTTTAATCTTTCAGAAAGACTGTAATAATATGAAATGGAATT